GGAATCGCCTGGGCCGAAAAACGCCGACGCGACGCCGCCCCCCCCCCCACTGCCGGATAACGCGGGTGGCTCGCAGCTCACAGACCTTCGAGATCGTGTAGTCCGGGGTCGCTCAGAAACGGCGACCCCTGCAAAGGTCTGGGCTCCTCGGGTCCCCTGGATTCCGGACATCCCCGGGACCTTCTTCGGGCATAGAATTTTCAGGTTTTCAGATGTTTTTTCAGCATTTGCTCTCCTTATCGGCTGGAGCAAAACGCCTGGGTGCCATCTCGTTGGAGATGCAATAACCCAAGTAATCTAGTGAGGTCTTGTGGAACTCACACTTCGATAACTTTGTGTATAGCTGCGTATAGCTTGGCAGCTATAAGTTTTTCCCAGACTTGTTGTACCAGTTTCACATGTTCTTCCAAGGTTTCAGAGAAGATCAAAATGTCATCAAGATAAAGGAGCACTCTGTGGTACAGGTGCTCATGTAGCACCTCATTTATGTACTGCATGAAGACTATGGGTGCTCCTTGTAGCCCAAATGGCATGACTTAGTACTGAAAACTGCCAAGGGGGATGTTAAAAATGGTCCTCTACTCATCTCCCTCTCTGATCTGAATGCAGTAATATGCCTCTCTCAAGTTCAGTTTAGTGAAGATTTTGCCTTTAGCCAAGTGGTTCAACATAGTGGTTCTTTCATGAGGGGAAGGGGATAAGTGCTCTTTTTGCATATCGTATTCAAGGCTCGCAGATCAATACAGAGATGAACTCCGCCATCTTTCTTTTCTCTGAAGAGCATGGGGGCTGCTACTTTCGACTTTGCTAGTTCAATAAATCCCTGTTTCAAATTGATGTCAATTTAGTTCCTCAATTCAACCATCTCTTTGGGAGTCATGGAGTACATTTTTGGCTTTGGTAATGTAGCCCCCTGTTTGAAGTTTATTGCGCAATCTGTGAGCTGGTGGGGGAGAGATAGTTGTAATCTTCCTCACTGAACACCCCCCCCCCAAGTCCCAGTAGTCTTTTGGTACTTATTGGATCCCTGGGGGCTTTGTGTCTGCTGCAGGTGTTGCAGGTTCGGACGGTCTGGGCTGTTGGGTTCAATCATTCCTGGGTGACCTTTTGGCTCCACCAGTGGTAATGGCCCAAAACTGATAATCAGTTTTCTAATACCGTACTCCCACTTTATTGTAGGTGCCCACTTGTCTAGCCACACAAGCCCCAAGATAATTGATTCCTGCATTCTTGGAGCCATGATGAATCCGAGGAACTCATAGTGGCGGCCTATCATTAACTTTACCAACTCAGTAATTTTCGTGGCTGCCCTTCCCCAATCAGTGTTTCATCTACTTGCTCAAACTGAATGGGATGTTTTAAGGGTCTTGTGCATATGCCTAGCTGCTCCACATTCAATATGTTGGTTAAGCATTGGGTGCAGCCAGTGTCCATAATTGCCCCAACTTCCCCATCCACTCCTGTTTCAGGCACTTGGAGGTTGCATTTTATCATAAATGGCCAGATGGGTGCAATCATCATTGGGTCATCTTCAGCATTTTCCTCCTCCCCATTGGTTGGGCTTTTCACCACCTTAGGTTGGGGGTCCACCTCCTGAGGTTGTTGGCCCAGATGACTCTTTTGTGGTGGCTTCTAGGGCCTTCTCTTTACCACACTGGTGGTTGGTGTGCACATTTGTGATATTGGGGCTGGAGCTGAGCACTCTAACACTCTGTGGCCGAATTGATAGCAACGGTGGCATTTTATTGCCTCCCTGAAGGATGGAACCCAGTTGTATCTCTAAACTTAGGAACCACCTCATCACATTGTTCCACTATCCATCCTGCAGCTTCCCCCTCATTCATCCCTTCTCCCATTGTTGAGAACTCTTGTCTGTAGGAAGGTGGGGTAAGAACCTGTAGGGGCATTGCAGGTGAGACTGGACTCAGTGGGGGGGGGGTCAATCCCTGGGTTGGCCACTGCCCAGTTATCTGCCATGGTGCCATCTGCTGAGGGAGAGCAGGTGCCCATTGGCATCTCTCCCATCCATGACCTGGGGTTGATTCACAGGTTGCAGCTCAAACATTGATGGCTGACTAGGGAGAGATATGGCCCAAGGCTCTTTCTGCTGGCTGGTTTCATTTTCCCATGTTGATGGCTAAGGAGGTGCCCACTGGCATCTCTTCCATCAATGACTTGGGAAGAAAGCCCAACCTGGTGGTGCTTGATTCACAGGCTGCAATCCCAACATTGGGGGCTGACTAGTGAGATATGCTGGCCAAATCCCTTCCTGCTGGCTCAGCTCATTTATCGCTGTATGGAAGGAGTAATTATCTCCACTCCAGTATATTTCTGAGCCTTTGCTGGGGAATTGGGAGGGGGAGTTTCCACTCATGTTTGGCTGCACAAATTGATCTGGGAGACTCCAATCATCTTGCCATGTGTGTGTAGAATTAGCCTTTCCATCCCCCTCCTGCATGTTCGCACACAAATTCCTTTGCACTTTGAAAGAATTTCAGAGAAGCAATTCATCATAAGCTTCTTTTCTCAAAAGGCTCTATCTTACTTCTTCGCTGATATTTTACACTGACCGGGTCAGGTCAGTGTTGGGAGTCAGCACCCCTCGCCAGCATCCCGTGCTGGGGTTGCTGATGATTTATTTTAATGGGAAATTCAGGTTAATGTCAGCGTTCCACATATCATCCAGAATTAAATCAGAGTTCAAGGCAGAGCTTTCCTCAAAGTTCCAATTTATTGAGAGACATGTTGGTACATCTGTGGGAAACCTGAATCTGAAAGCTTCCTGGGTTTTCCACCCAGTTGAAAGTTCAAGACCTTGCCCCCACACCCACAAGTTCATCACATGGTCCAATCTTCCACTGCCACGCTGGCAATTCCACCCATCCACTTCCAGTCAGGTGCAGAGGTGCAATGACCTTGGGCAGAAGCCCAAGGTCTTCTGCCCAAGAAAGAAAGGAATGTTTTATTTTGACAACAACAATCTACTCCTTACTATTCCCCCTCCCAATATCCCACTAATGAAACAGTATAGTAAAATAAGAGAGAGTGTGGCAGGCCAAAGATCCTAAAAGGAATATGACTAGAGGCCTGACAAAGAGAAGGAAATATAGAGGGGAGGAATCAAAGCTGGAAGAAAGACTTTTCTGCTTCCTTTACTCGTTTTAAAGAATTCCAGCAATTAAAAGTAAGAATTAACTTAAAGGAATGTTCATAAAATAGAAGGCCATCTTCTAAATTAATTCAAGAAGCACCACAAGATCTAGAAGAAAATCTGGTCTGTCTTAACACTGATATCAACGACATAAATGATAAATTAATCTCAAGTAAAATAAAGAATTCAATAATTGCAGATGACAGATCTGTAATTGTCTTCAATTGAGAAGTTTATAGACAGAACTGAACAAGTTGGAAGCTGGAATACAATTCATGGAAACAGAAACTTTGCATGGTTGTGGGATGTGTACTCTGAAGAGATAAGAGCTGGGTCAGAGATTCAGGTCTGGGCAGGTCCCATTAGAGGAGCCAGATGAATAGTGTTTTTTCTGTACAATATATTAGGACATAATTTACAGAAACCCATACTGAATCAATCATTGCTCAAGTCAAGAAGGACCACACTAGGTATTAAAGTCCCTAATACCTAGTGCTATAGCAAGTGTCCTCAACCCCAGGCCATGGGCTATTGGGAACTGGCCCATGAAAGCAGTGGGTGAGCGTGTTAGCTTGTGAAGCTACATTTGTGCATATGCATGCATGCCCCCCCCCCCCACACACACACTGTTGCTGCCAGTCTGCAATTCCAGAAAGATTGGGGACTTAGGACTATTGGGGAAAAAAGCTGCAAATATACAAAGATCAAAAACAAAAAAATAATGATCTTTTATTACCAACCAAATCCAACAAGAATCGTGTTACAATGAGCTCTGGGGCTTAGACCATTTGAGATTAGTACTCCTAGGTCCTTGACAGAGTGAAGGTTGTCTACGAGGTTGTATCCACCCAGCTTGTATTTAGTGTTCTGATTTTTGTTGCCAATGTGTAGGACAGCACATTATCTAACAAATGCTCTGTGTGTCAGAATGGTCACACAATTGGCAACTCCAAATCTCATCTGATCTCATCGGCTGCGGCCGCACCCTTTCCCCTTTCCGCCTCTCCTCTGACAAGCTTCGGACATTACTGCCAAGGGGAGCCGAAGCCCTTTGGCCTCCCCCTCCCCTCCCACTGGGCCTTTGCTGTCTGTGGTGGGGCACCACCTGCACCATCCCTCGACTGCCTCCCCCCGCCCTTAAGCCAGCCTACCCCTGGCCAGCCCAGCGGAGCTCCAGAGGAGGCGGAGGCGGGGCATCTCCTCAGGCCGGCCGCGTGCACTCTCCACCCCCCCTCACAGCGAGCCAGCTATGGCCTTGCCAAGGCGGCTCTGATGGGGCGGTGTCAGCAGTGTCAGCAGTGTCAGCCTGAGGTGCAGCCCGGCCCCTGGGTGCCCCATGAGGCGGCACACCAAGGACTTCTCCTCCTGCGACATCCTGGGTGTCTAACTCTCCCGGGCCACCGATTTGGAGGAGCCTGAGCACAGCTCCTCCGAGGAGATGCTCAACAACTTCCACGAGGCTGACAGCCCCGACGCTGTCTCCCCCAACCAACTTCGCCCGGCTCAGCAGCCCCGAGTCCTGACCAATGGCAGCACCCACCTGCCGCCCCACTATGCCCAGACTGGACCACAGCAATGCATGGCCGGGTACAGCTAGTTCTATTATAAATAAGTAATATATACCTTTACCTATGTGTGCAGTCTATTACCTATCATTAATGAATTCTAAGAAAATTCATGTAAGAATAGCATTCCAATTATAAAAGAGCACTTCAATTATCTAATGTATAATGAAAGAACTACATGGATTTCGAAGCCCAACATACAAGCATATATCCAGTTTTGCAACTGATCAGTATTAGAAGTTAATATAAGTAATGTACCTATATAAAACAAATATTGACTACAGTATTGCTATTAAATATAAATCATACAAATTTATGATTGAAATGGCAGCTTGAATAGCAGTTCTTAAAGACAATTTATTTCTCCAATATTACCATACTGACATTCCTTTTAAAATTACTTTTTGGCAGGATGAAGTGGTCCGCTTTTCAAGCATTCAACCTCAGATAGAAAAACTGAAGGTACAAGGCAAAGCACTAAAACAGAACCAGCAGTGCCCAGTGTTTTTGGAAGCAGATCTTGTTGCCTTTAGTAATCATTTCGCTCAAGTGTACAATGATTTGAAAGCTAGAGAAAAGCAGCTACAAACAAGTAAGTGCTGATACTAATTATTGTCAACAAATAGCTCAGAACCAAAATGAGTTTGGAAGGTCATTTATATATTTAGCTATGTAACAAAAAATCAATGGTCCTGCAGCTAATCATAACTTTTACTCATTTTTCTATCTTCTTCTCATTTTTCTTCTGTACAAGTGCAGTATATATGCAAAACAAAATATAAATTTTGTTTATTTGGAATTGATTTGGGCTTTGATTCAAAAATGCTGATTGTACATTGCCTACAGAAATTGGTTATCAAATTTAATGATAAGTAGAACTAGGGTTCTATTATGTCATAATGTCTTTATGCATTATACAATGTTTATTGTAAAGAATAAACCAGCATCAAACTTACTTTACTTCAAAATGCCAGTTATTAGAGTCACCTAAAGTCGAGGGGACACAGTGGCTCATTGGCTAAGATGCTGAGCTTGTCAATCAGAAAGTTGGCAGTTCGGTGGTTCGAATCCCTACCACCGCATATCGGAGTGAGATCCAGTTACTTGTCCCAGCTTCTGCCAACCTAGCAGTTCGAAAACAGATAAAAATGCAAGTAGAAAAATAGGGACCACCTTTGGTGGGAAGGTAACAGCATTCCATGTGTCTTCGGCATTTAGCCATGCCAGCCACATGACCACAGAGATGTCTTTGGACAGTGCTGGCTCTTCGGCTTTGAAACGGTGAAGAGCACCTCACCCTAGATTCGGGAACGACTAGCAGGGATGTTTGCAACTTGTGGTCCTCTGCTGTGGCTCCCTGTCAGGTGATCCCACCACTGACTGCCCCTGCCCCTTGCCCTTCCCTCCCAGTCACTCCTTGCCTGGTCTGAGAAGTTAAAGGCAATGGCAGGGGCTGGGGCTGGGGCTGATTCTCTGGAGCTTCTTCTGGTCCTTTTTGGTGCTGGGCATGCCTTGGCCATTTGGAAAGACATGCAACCCACTCTCCGCCCCAAGATGCTGGCCCAACCCAGCCACAATTGATGCGGGCTTTGCTAACATTAGGGCTGGTGTGCTGGGAATGGGATCTGGGATGATGGGATGACAGAAAGGGGATGGGCCCACAACGCCCAGCACAGATTTAAAACTTGTACAGGGGACTTTTGCCATCCAGAAGACATTTTTCAATGAAAGCAGGCAGTGGCACAGCTCCACTGGAAGAGTAAAGACGTTCAAGTTCAAGGCAGTGGGAAAAGGGGGCTGGCCCTGGGGGTCAGGCTCAAAGAAAGCCAGTGCCCTTGCCAATGACATTCACCAATCAGCCAGTCACCCGCTCTCTGTCTCTGTCTCTGTCTCTGTCTCTGTCTCTGTCTCTGTGTGTGTGTGTGTGTGTGTGTGTGTGTGTGTGTGTGTGTGTGTGTGTGTGTG